AGAGAGAGAGAGAGAGAGAGAGAGAGAGAGAGAGAGAGAGACTAAAAAGAAATAAAGAGACTGAGAGGCCAGAGCTTGGCAAACCAAACTTTGGCATGGTGACTGTGAGGAACGTTCTGAGGGAGTTAGCTCTCTAAAATACTTCCTGGAGTCAGCCAATATGCTGCTGCCCTCTAAAGGCTCCAGGGAATAGTGCACAGCCCCAGAGCCAGAATCTTGCCCTCAGATGTGCCATGTTTATTCAATTATTTTCATATAACCAAGGGAGATATTTTCAATTAATTACAACAAAGCTTGCTCTTCCCCACCCCCGGTAGACTGTCAAAATTGGTCAAATAACAGTAACTATGTCAGATGACCAATGAGCAATGCTCTGTTACCTGCACAGGTGGGAAATAGCCCATTGGTAAAAGGCTAAGTAAAGAGGTATTAAACAAATGAAACAGTGAGCCTGTTTGGAGAGATGATTTAATACTACTGGGATAAGAATTGTCTCCAAAAATGATCCTTGAGACAACAAATGGAAAGCAAGCATACTAACATGAAGAACAATTTTTGCAATGTTAAAAATAAAGTGTAATAGTCATTTGGTGATATAATCGTATTTGAAAGTTAATATCCTTAATTCTCTGAATCACACATCTAAAACCAGCCTCAGCTTTGTTTAAGCATCAGGGATGATTTTTATCTACTAGGTAGCATTTGTCATAGGTATTGTCTCTATATTTAAATGAACCAGGAAGACCAGCTTATTCCTGTTAAACAAAGTGGCCTCATTCTTCTCAAATGCTCTGCATGGATTCAAAGTTGCAGCACCCAGGGTAGAGGTCATTGCTACATAAAGAGCAAGAAATTTAACTGGGATTCAGGCTGTGGTGATCCTTGAAATGCACTTTAATTTCAGTTCAAATTTCATTCCACCAACAAATAGTTGTTGAGTGACAGTTTTGAGGCTTAACTGTGTAGACAGTAAGCTCTGAAAAGACAATAACCAGGCTCAATTCTCTGGACAATGCTAACATATCACAGGCACACCGTACATGTTTGTAAAATGAATGTGAATAAATGATTAAAGAGAAGAAAAAAGGAAAGAATGGCTCACTAAAAGTAATAGAAAAATAACTGAGCCATTTCCTTACCTTCAGAGAGGTTACTGAATATAAATAAATATTCATGAAATAAAACTTAGTGCATAATAATATTAGTAAAAAGCATTAGATGATTTCAGAGAACAAATGGGAAGAAATCCTGTACAATAGAGAAGAGTCGTGACAGTTACAAAAAGGAAATAACATTTGATAAGCATGCAGGGTGTTTGAGTTCAACAAGCAGAAATGACAAAGGGATGATCAAAGTAAGAAAAATAACTTGAGTAAAGGTATGGAGCCAAGAATGTAAATTCCAGGACTTTCTAGGAATATTAAGAATTTTTAGAGTCCAGTGTGCCAATACATAGGATGCAAATAAAATAAACTAGAGCTGCTAAGGAGCTGACCTTGAGGGTCAGGCTAACATGACCATGGGGGATTCAGTGAATGCATGGAAACAGGACTAGAGAAGATGTGAGGGATGGAGAGCCAGTCAGTAAACATTAGTCCAGATAAAAAGTGGCAAGGGAGGGCTGGGGATATGGCTCACTGATGGAACTCTTGCCTTGCATGCACAAGAGCATGGGTTCAATCCCCAGCACTACACACACACACACACACACATATACACACACACACATACACGCACACACACATGTGGTTAGGCAATTGTATGAAATGAAACAGAAATAAAAACATAAAAATATGAAACTTGATGTTAAATCAGCTTGAAGTGAGAGGAAAATGTACCATAATGAGCCTAAGATTTCTCACCTGATGACAGACAACAGTGATGGAAATAGGGACCATAGAGCAAGCAGTGATTCTCACAGTACAGAAGGTCACACTTTGCACATCTTTTATTAGGTGCCATTTTAAACTGAAAATCAGAATGCCAGAGCCCTGAGAGTTTATGTGGATACTCAAAACTTAGGGGTTATTCACTTCATCACCGATTCAACAAACAATGCGTAAGGCATTGCCATTTGTTGTTTGCCTTACATTGGCTTTTTGTATAGTGAAAAAGATGTTTGGAAGTTTCCCCTCTATTCTAATCTTTACCATGCTATTTCTGCCTTCTGCCCTCTAAAGAAACAGATTTGATTTCACAACCTGTTGGACCAAAAACACAGCATACTAATCATAACACCATATTCTGCAAGGGCAGATTTAACTACCCAGCTCAACAAATTTCAATATGAAATACAGTATTCTGTAGAACAAGTTCAATGCTGTGCTCATAGAAACAAAAGCACAGAAACAAATCCACTTACAAGTTATACAGCACACACAATCTTCAATAAAAAAAGATGCTTTTTAGGGCTTGAGATGTGGCTCAGTACTTTCGCATTTGCCCTTTATGTGCACATATGCAAGACCTGGGTTTGATCCTTAGAATTTTAAAAATGGCTTCTTTGGTTATTATCTACCTAGTGATAGAAAAAATACAAAGCCAAGGAAATTGATAACATGTTCAGGGACTAATAATCTGTTTGGATGAATTTAACATTAGTTGTGTTATTGTGAGAGGAGTGCCTGAGCTGATTGATACCTGAGCTATTTTACTTCCTATTCCTGACCCCAAATGACAGTAAGTAACAGCGAATTTCTAGTTCCCTTCACCCATCTCTTCCTCACCTGCCAAGCACACAGCCACACCCCTGAACTCCAGTGCATGCACTACATCAATAAATGATGAGAATCTTCAGCATAGAATGAATAAAAACTAAAAGTAGAGCATCTCTGTATGACACCTTGCCTCTTTGCCTACTAGAACCTAAGTTCTTGTCACTTTCACTTTTTACTTTAACAAAAATCCTCTATTTCTAGTCCTTTCATCAATACAGTCTGCAGATTTCATTTGTGATTTGAAGTGATATATTGATTTAAAATAAAGTCTAGTAACAGTAAGAAAATTGAATGTTCTGTGTGTTCCATGAAGAACTGCAAGCTGGAAGGAACTTTTAAGGCCATCTAATCCAAGCCCTTTATTTTACAGATGAGGAAACTGAAGCCCAGAGAGGTGAAGTGAGGTGCCCAAGGCCACACAGCAAGTTAGAGGCACAGCTAGTACAATAGCTCAAGTCTCCTGACTCCCAGTCCAGTGCTCCTTCCATTACTCCACGGGTCCTGTCTCTAAGCTTCCTGACAAATGCTAGAACGGTAAACCTCCACTAGTATTTTTCCAGACCATGTTAAAACTCATAAGGCGGGGGGAAAGGATGCTTTCTTGGATAATGTCAGCCATACGTAGCTCAAGCTGTCTAAAAGTTCTGGGACAGGGTCTTTTTATACAGCCAACAGAGTCCAAATGTGGTACTGTTTGCTTGGCCCATATGCTTTCATGTGTTCCCAGTTAGGCCATTACTGGAGCGAAATTTAAAAAAAAAAAAAAAAAACCAACAAGAATCAGCTTGTTTTAAAACAAGGGACATACTGGACTCCCTCCCATCCCCCTCCTGAAAAAAAAATCAAGTTATCTTTAACAGATTCTAAAAATGCCTTTTCCCAAATATGCAGTCAGTTCCTTCAAAGGGCCCTTTGTTTATTTTCAGGAAGAAACCCAAGACAGCTGAAAACCAGAAGGCATCTGAGGAGAATGAGATTACTCAGCCGGGTGGATCCAGCGCCAAGCCAGGCCTTCCCTGCCTGAACTTTGAAGCTGTTCTGTCTCCAGACCCAGCCCTCATCCACTCAACACATTCACTAACAAACTCTCACGCTCACACCGGGTCATCTGATTGTGAGTACACCAGTAAGGTGATGGTGTCTTCGCACTGTTTGAAGTAATGCTTTTCCCCTGGGTTCTGGCTGTTTTGTATTCAGAGCAAGCTGTTTGCATATTGTCTTCGAAAGTAGCCAAAAGTAGCATGCCACCATTTTTATTTGGCCAACGTCTATAATTTTCAAAACTAAGTATATTTTAAAGTCAGGTAACCAGCCATTTGGCCTCAAAAGACTAATTAATTATATAATCTACATTCTCTTTTATAACATTAACTAAGAAAAAAAAAGTAACAATGCTGCCTGCTAATTATTCCTGATCTGAATAACACCATTTCCACTATTACTAAATGGAACGACCAAATATGGACCTCACAAGGCCATTTAGATACAAGGAAATAGACATTTTGAAGTTACATAACACAAATCAGATTTGCATTAGTTATTGAAGTCTTATGTAGCTTGGCTGAATTTCTTTCTTTCCAGTTTTTAATTTATTTTGAAGTGGTTAAAGGATAGCATAAATTTACAGAAGAAAAGAAAAGGGCTTCCAAGAATTCAAAAGCCACCCAGACTTCACATAGCCAATAAGAATTCAGGTTAAAAATATTTTTAATTAAAAAAACTGCCTAAGGGCTAAATTTGGAAATGGGCAGCTTAATGAGATTGTCACTATTGAAATCACTTCTTTGCTGTTTATTTTTGCCGTCTTCTCACTAATCTGGAAGTCACTTGTTCAAATTTTATTTTAAGAAAGTTGAATAGTCACATTTCAGAGATTTTTTTTCCTTTCTGAAACATAATCTAGTACTTCAGGCAGAAATATAAATGTTGACAATGGAAAAGAATTAAATAAGTTTGGGGTCAAATCAGAAGGAGTATTTCTTTCAGCTTTAAGATACCCAGAAACTCCTTTGAACTGGTCTCCGTGTAGGTTGTCTGGTAACAGGCAAAGAATTGGCATGTTCTTTTTTAGAATCAGTAAGATAAAATCAAGAAAGTTTGATTTTATTTTTGTCTGCAAAACAAAAATTATTGATTAGGAAATGTAATTTTAAATCTATCATTATTTTTGGAAAGAACAAATGACGAAGTTTATAAAAAGGATCAGAGATGACTGAGTCCAGAGATTGCGTTTTCTGCTTCTTCCTCACAACAGTCTGTAGATAAGGGGTAAGAACCAGGGGAATGGGTTAGGGTAGAGATGGCTTTTTTTAAGCATGCAGGGCTGAGACTGAACTGCTGTCACTAAAAAATGAAAAGAGAAGTTATGAGATTCAAGCCTGTACCTATGTGACCCATATGGTCAAAGTTGCAACTCCTTTTTTTTTTTTTTTTTTTTTTTGTACTGAGGATAAACTCAGGACCTTACACTTAGTCAGGCAGGTGATTATGCTGCTGAGCTATCTCCCTGGCCCAACTTCTATAAAGAGATACGGGAGTCGGAAGCAGGGTCTGTTCTGTTGACCAGAGTAATAGTCACACTCTTGGACTTCATTGCCCGGCAGTCTCCAGCGTAATAGTAATTACAGGAGGAATTGGAAAATAGTGTGGCACTGTGCCCACGGACATGTGCACACTATCCCTACCTCCCGGGAAGGTGGACTGTTCCTGCGGTGAAGGGCCTGGAGCGTCTGCATACAGACCTTCATTGCCTGGCATTCTGCCACACCTTATGGGGGCGATTACGTGGAATGGCCTTAGCCCAGGAACCTCCTGTCACAGCAAAATGAATGTTTTGTTGAATAGAAAAAGCAATGATCTTCTTGTATTGTACTTTACTTTAAACATCCTCCAGCTAAGCTTTAGCACTAGTGTTGCAGACATTTAAGGAACAGTAGGAGTATGGTGTCATCATACAATTCCTGGGAACCCTGTGGAAGCCAGCAGATCTAAGCTTGGGAGAGTATCTGAATGCATTTGAAAGAAGAATTGGGAGGAGAATCCTAATCTCCAGCTGTTTAGGAAGTCATTTTGATTTTGCCATTAAGATGTGTAACACTCTACCATCCAACTTTTTGTTTAAATTGATTATACTTTTCTCCAAATATATTTGGATTATAGTTTGTCCTGATTTGAGCCTACACTTAGAAGAAAATTGTTTTTAGGAAAGATTCACAGAAATCTGTCCATTTGGAGATTGCTTGAGAGAAGACAGGAAAGAGGTTTATTTTAAGCTCTTAAAATTTTTGGATGCTCTTCTTGCATTCAAGCGGATTTTTTTTTTTTAACTTTCAAATGTCATTTTACCATAGATTAATTTAAAAGCCTAATTTCTTTAAGGTAAAATATTCAATTCCTATTTAGAACTAACAGATTTGGGGTATTTAAAAATAGTGCCCTTGACTTGCTAGTCTCTTTAACTTCAGAAACATTGTACCAGTGTGTGGTATTCTAAGCTTTCACAAGTACCTGAATTTTTATAACACCTTTTTATTAGTCAGGTGTTTAGCACATTATTCTTAATTATCCCTTAATGCCCATTTCCTGTCAGTCAGTATGATTCTTTCCAATTCATAGATGAAAAAACTGAGAAAAGTGACACCCAGATAGATGAACTGCTTGACCATGGTTAACCCATCTGGAGACTGAGAGTTGTTTATGGGTTTGCTTTCATTGTGAGCAGCCAGAGTTCTCTTTTCTTGGTCCAAAGATGGCATTCCTGGTTCTAAGCCAGCACTTGAAACATGTAAACTACTAGCATTGGTGATTGGGTTACAAAACATGGTGGATTAAAATACTCTCACAAAAGATAAATCAGCTACACTGTGAACTGGGAAGTGTGGGCAAGCTATAGCATTGTTGCATGTGAAGGACACAGGCCATGTTTTCAAGCAAAGTTGACAAGTCTAACCTCTTAAATTCTTAGTTAGCTATTTAACCTGCTGAGCCACTTCAAATTTGGCAAAGGATCCCAGTAATTTCAAACCAAGAAGGAATATAGTTGAGATATGCTTTCCTTTGTGATGTGATATTGTTAATATTGCTACTGGAATGTGTGCTGCTTTGCATTGCACTCACTAATACAATTTTCTTTCAGTAATATTCTCCCATTACCTCCTAGCTTGTCACCTCTACATCTTTTCTAAAAATCTAGTGGTAAACAAATTTAGATGATGATAATGGAAGGCATTAAGATCAGCTTAGGAACAAAAAGGTTACAAAAACCCAAGTGTTTGACAGAGCACTTACCCATGGAACATGCTGAGTATGAACTGAGCCAAGCTCTCCTTTTAAATGCTTAAACAGGACTAAACCAAGTCAGTAGAGCAGACGAAGTGCTCCATATGAAAAACCTGTCTTGACAACTATCAAGCTGTAGTACATCACAGTCATATCCATGTGATAGACGCAACCAGAACTTTACTTGCATATTTCTTCCATTTTGTTTTCTCCCAACAAAGGCTTCTATCAAAAGGAGCAGTCATCTCTCTTTGTCTGACCTCCCTAGTTCTGGCTGTAGTTCTACCTAGTCTGATGTGTTTCCTTTGTTGGAAGCTGTTATCCACAGTTACTTACCTTCCTGTGTTTTACTCTTGACTCATCAGACTGTCTCGTTTTTTGTGTCTTTGCCAAAATGCACTTACACATTAACAGTTTTTATTTATTTTTAAATTAACCTTTACACATTACCAAACTGTTGTGTGGGTGGTTTTAACTTTGGCTCTGTAGGTAGCATGATGCTGCTGGGACTGAATGCTCTTGAGAAGACTATGGGCTCGTCCTTTTCAGTTTCTTGCCATCCACCTTCATTGGCCTTATCTGCCCCCACCCCCAACCCTTTGCTTTGCCTGCCCAAGTCCCTGTGATTAAAGTTTTTAGTACACTTGGCTCATTTTGAACTTTTGAGCAATTTTTTAGAGAACAAAACAAAGAGGATTTTTATTGCAAACTCCATTAATGCCACATTAAGGCTGACATTTTAATTACCCCCAAGTCAGGAAATGCAAAGTTCAGGTTCCCACAGCAACAGAAACTGTCCCCTTGAGTGCTCACATCACAGCAGATTCTTTCATTCCCTGATTACACAACACCGGGTGTGGGGACATTGTTTTTATGCATGTATGTGGAAAGGAGCAGAGCTTTTATTCTTTGTTTCTTTCCTGTAACTACAGTTGAGGATATGGGTCTTTAGCTTCTCTCCCCAAACCATCTATATGTATTATCCTGAAATGGAAGACTATTATAGCTCTACATGTGCACACGGACAGAATTAAAGTTGCTGTGGGAACATTAACTCTGATTTCCGGACTTCCGTGCCAGTCACATTTAAACCATAATGTTGTAATTTTTGGCATGTAATAAATGTGCATTTCATGTACACAGACAGAAAGAAGCATAAAATGTATTTTAAAGAGCAATTAATTACTAACTTTGTGATTAAAAAACATTTGGTGCATGTTCCTTCCCATTTAGCATCAGCTGCTGGTCTTAGCCAGGCCTAATAGATGACATACTGTGTCTCATCCTGTATCTCAGATGTACTTACTGTATGTTCCTGTTCTTCTAGATAATTAATTCCCTTAGTAAAGCTGTAGAAGAAAAACAAAATGGAAGGAATATGCAAGCATGTAAATAGGGGAAGGGATATTTTGAAGAAAATGATTCATTTCTGCAAATAAACCTCAGAGTCCCTGACAAAGAGCCAGAAATCTGCTAAGTGGGTGTAGAGAAAGGTTTCTGGCTACCTTAGAGCACCTAGTCTGGAGCCATAAGAGCAATTTGAACATCAGGCATGCTGAGTGGAGGAATGATTTTTACTCTATACTAATTTTTCAGGCCTAAGGTTCTTCAGTTTATATTCAAACTGGAAAGGGAAAATTATAGGGAAATCAGGTGAGATGTGGGATTTGCCAAAGAATCTGTGACTTAGAAAACTGAATTTCTTTTCCTTAATACCACAATTTGGTTGACCCATTTGTATCAGAGAAGGAAATTTTTCAAAATAACCATTAGAACAGGTTTGTAAGTGAAAGGCATTACTAGCAATACTCTATGGTAGTGTTTAAAAATGCAAAT